GCCACCACACCCAGCTAATTTTTGTATTTTTAGTGGAGACAGGGTTTTACCATCTTGGCCAGGCTGGTCTCGAACTCCTGACTTCAAGTGATCCACCCACCTTAGCCTCCCAAAGTGCTGGGATTACAGGCGTGAGCCACTGCACCCAGCCAAGAGACCCTTTCTCTAAATGAAAATACAATACTTATCCTATGTACTTCTGGAGGGCCCAGAGATGTGGAAGTCATGTATTCGTAAGAATCATATTAAACAATCTTTGTTTGAAATGTAGTACCATACAATCCTAATGCTGTCTAACTTTAATAAGAGCAATTTCAGCATCAACTAGTGAACAGTAGCTAAACTAACAGAGATCAGCCAGAAGTGCTTTAACAGAAGCAGCACTGGCTGACATTCTGCTGAGTCTGTGGGTATTCAGGACCCAGGGAAAACAGAATCAGACCGGCAGGGGTGAGAGCTGAGAGCCAAATGGTCACGTTAGAAAGGCAGCACCCCGGCCTCCAGCGATGAGCAGAGTGACTCAGCCTCTATCTCCTGTCCCTCAGGAGCACAGTGAGCTCCTCCCCAGGACCCACTTCTCGGCTTCCCCTCACCAGACTTCAACCAGATCCCTGCTGGACCATGGTGGTGGCCTTTCTGGCCCTGCCGGGGACTGGGAGCAGGGAGGGGAGGGGCAGCTGAGGGGCATGAGGTGGGCAGGCAGCCTGTGGTCTCTGGGTGCAGCCTGGTCTGGCCAAGAGGCCTCCTCAGGGCCCACCCCTGCCCTGCTATAGGCCTCTATATAATTTTTTTTTTCCCCCAAAATGGAAGTTTCATCGTGTCACCCAGACTGGAGTGCAGTGGCACAATCTTGGCTCACTGCAACCTCCGCCTCCTGGTCCTAGGTTCCACTGATTTTCCTGCCTCTGCCTCCCGAGTACCTGGGATTACAGGTGCCTGCCACCATGCCTGGCTTTTTTTTTTTTTTTTTGAGACGGAGTCTCGCTCTGTCGCCCAGGCTGGGGTGCAGTGGCGCCATCTCGGCTCACTGCAAGCTCCGCCTCCTGGGTTCACGCCATTCTGCTGCCTCGGCCTCCCAAGTAACTGGAACTACAGGTGCCCACCACCACACCCAGCTAATTTTTTTGTATTTTAAGTAGAGACGGGGTTTCACTGTGTTAGCCAGGATGGTCTCGATCTCCTGACCTGGTGATCCGACTGACTTGGCCTCCCAAAGTGCGGGGATTACAGACATGAGCCAAGGTGCCCGGCCTAATTTTTGTATTTTTAGTAAAGTTGGGGTTTCACCATGTTAGCCAGGCTGGTCTTGAACGCCTGACCTCAGGTGATCTGCTCACCTCGGCCTCCCAAAGTGTTGGAAGTGCACATGTGAGCCACTGCGCCCAGCCCTCCGTATAATTTGTATGTGTCAGGAAATACTGTTGTTTTGGTTCTTTTCTTTATTTTTTGGAGATAGGGTCTTACTCTGTCACCCAGGCTCCCTGCAGCCTTAAACTCCTGGGCTCATGCAGTCCTCCCTACTTGGCCTCCCAAGAAGCTGGGACTAGAGATGTGCACCATGCCTAGCTTATTCATTTTTTATTCTTTATTTTGTAGAGATGGTGGTGGAGCAGCGGGGGAGTCTCACTGTGTTGCCCAGGCTGGACTCAAACTCCTGGGCTCACAGTATCATGCCTCAGCTTCTGAGGTGCTGGGATTACAGGTGTGAGCTTCTGCACCCAGCTGACTTTTTTTGAAGCATTAAAAAAAAAAAAAAAAAAGTAAAAACCATTCTTGAAGGTTATACAAAAACAGGAAGCAGGCTGTAGTTGGCTGACCCGTTCTAGGCCTGCAAGTCAGACAGGTTATAAGATCAAATCCTCTCTTAACAACTCACAGTGTGACTTAGGCAAATGACAGTGCTGCTGCCTCTCTGGGTCTGTTTGCTCAGCTGCACAATGGAAACATTATTGACCTGGATGAGAATTATTAAAAATAGTACATCTCGCTGCTTTAAGAAGCAGGCCTTCCTTTTGCAATCAGGATTTAGCCTGAAGTGAGCGGTCCATAAGGACAGAGGCAGCTTTTTCTCAACTCTGTGAGAGCCATATCATGTCCCCAAGGCGACTCTTTCCCAGGCTCAAAACACAGGTATCTGTGTAAAGTAACAGAAAGTCAAAAGGCCAAGTAAGGACATAACCCCTCAGGAGGCTTTTTGGCATTGGAAAACCCTGCCCTCAAAGGGCTCAAGGAAGCCAGTTTCGAGTCAGTGATAGTTCATGACGTCCCAGTAGGGGAAAACTGCAGGGCCCAAAAGCTGACACCCGCAGAGCAGCCCAGGGGGCAGGCTGCCTTTGTTGAGACTGGGTCCAAGGGCTAATGGAGGCTGTTGTGCTGACCACTGGCCCCAGTTAAACAATGGTAACCACGCCTGGCAAGTGACTGTTTTCCTGGTTGGGGGTGGGCGGGGTGTTCCCCGGCAAGTCCCCACTCTGATCCACAGGTGGCTACGATTGTAACCTGGGCCGGAAGGACCTAGATTGTCTTTGTGACTGCTGTAGCTTTTTTTTTTTTTTTTTTTTTTTGCCAAGGGGAATTGTCAGCCAGGAAAAGTTCTCCTGGGAATTCTATCAGTCCTTGTTGCAGAACACACATAGCTGCCCGCTACCAAAAGGCATGGAGATACGTTCAAAACAGTACAGACGGTGTGATCCTATCTTCCTTGTAAGGTGTGGCTGTTTATATGAGAGGAAAAAAATCCCAGGACAAGTCAAAACTATGGTGGTTACCTCTTGGTAGTGGGGAAATTAGGACTTTTTTCTTTTCCAAGAACAAACATGTTATGATGTTACTTAGAAAAATCTAGAGTGAGGGCTGGGAGCCGTGGCTCATGCCTGTAGTCCCAGCACTTTGGGAGGCGGAGGCAGGTGGATTGCCTGAGGTCAGGAGTTCGAGACCAGCCTGGCCAACATGGTGAAACTCCGTCTCTACTAAAAATGGAAAAATTAGCCAGGCATGGTGGCGGGTGCCTGTAATTCCAGCCACTCAGGAGGCTGAGGCAGGAAAATCGCTTGAACCTGGGGGGCGGGGGTTGCAGTGAGCTGAGATTGCGACATTGCACACCAGATTGGGCAACAAGAGTGAGACTTCGTCTCAAAAACAGAAAAAAAAAAGAAAAAGGAAAATCTAGAGTGAGTCAGCAGACAGGAGTGGAGGAGGGGAACAGTGTCTATTGCTCCTCTAGAATGGAGCACAAGGGAATTCAGGTCACCTAAGAACAACTGGGGCCACCTAGCCGAGTGGCTGGCCGCCTCTAGACCTTTGGGGCTTGACTTCGCCTCAGAATTCTGGATTTGGGAAAGTTCGCCTTTTATGTTGTTCATATATCCTGTAATTATTTCCCTTATTTTCTTTTTTTTTTGTTGAGATGGAGTCTGGCTCTGTCACCCAGGCTGGCATGCAATGGCATGATCTTGGCTGACTGCAACCTCTGCCTCCTGGTTTCAAGTGATTCTCCTGCCTCAGCCTCCCAAGTAGCTGGGATTATAGGCATGCACCACCATGCCTGGCTAATTTTTGTATTTTTAATAGAGACAGGGTTTCACCATGTTGGCCAGGCTGGTCTTGAACTCCTCACCTCTGGTGATCCATCCACCTCAGCCTCCCAAAGTGCTGGGATTACAGGAGTGAGCCACCGTGCCAGGCCTGGTTATTTATTTATTTATTTATTTATTTATTTATTTATTTTTTAAACTTTCCATTACTAGCTACTGGGCTAAGGGGACTCAAGAGAAAAGATGGTTGTGTCTCCCTCCTTGGGCCAGAATTTGAAAAATACAATTGCCTGGCTCTGAGGGCTAGGCTTGGTGGCAGTAGCAGGAATCAAACAGAGAGAACTCCAAAGCAAGGGGAATAAATCTGAGACAGAAAAGTTGGGGTCATTTGTGTAATTAAACTTTCCTTCCTTGAAGACCTTCCATTTAGAGGGCTGTTTTATTAAGAGATTTAATAAATAAAATAACATGTATTAAGTGTCTTCATGTCACTACACATGGCGATCAATGTCCACTTGGAATCACCAGGCCTCTCCACCAAAACCAGGAAGGCCTTCAGGGAAGCTCCCCTATCCCAGCCCAGGAGTCTCACAGGCACCGCCTGCCTCTGTCCTACAATGTGACTCATCTCTAAGAGCAAAAGCATTGCCTCTATTCCAAGAGGTCTGGGACCTTGGAGTGTGGACCACGTGCACTGCTTGCGGGGCAGGCACACCTCTCACCTCCTTGGGAAGGGCCTGGGGTTTGGCGAGATGAGCTCCAGGAGACTCCTGTGCATCCCTAATACTCTCTGTTCACACATGGACCAACTAAGTCAACTGAACAAGGACCTAGTTCCCAGATGGGGCAGTTGAGCCCAGCCTGAATTCAACTCATGCCCGCAAAGTGAAGACATTACTCTGTGGGAACCTGTGTGTGTGGTGGGGGTGGGAACTGAGGAGAGACCCTGTCCATATGCTCAGCCAAGAGTACTGGCTGCAAAGGAAAAGGGGGCAACACGTTCCAACTCAGTTTCTCTGGCCAGTGCCATGGTACTTCAGGCCAAGGTGAAGGGTGCATCCGAAGGGACCAGACATGTCCGTCCTCTCTGAGAAAAAGGACCTTGGGACTCCTGGGCACCAGGCAAGATGGCAGCAGCAGAAATCCCAGTGAGAGACCCTCATGGGATGAGAAACATCCCCCGACCCCCACCAAGAGAGGTTTTCCAGGAAGACAGAATAAATTTTTATTGCACCCATACCAAACTACAGACACAAATCTTTGAAAGGTAGTACCATTTCATTTAGTGTTGTAGGAAATGTTGGGTTACTTCTTAAAAATGAAACCAAAGAAATTCAAAAGTCTCAAAGAAAGAAAGCGGGAAATAATTCTATAATCCAAAAACATTGGGCGATCCTTCAGTTGGAGGAAGGGGGCGTCAGTTAAGTAGCTCACACAGTAGATATGGAGACACCACCGAGTTAAGTTTGGTGGATACTAGGAATTAAGTTCTCTACCTAAGGCAATTAATTTTTCAGTTGTGAGAGATAATTATTAGTTCTCGAAAAAGAAAAAAGTTGACTGGGAGAAGGGACCCAGGAAGGAAGAATGGCGTGTCATTTAACATTAAATTGCCTCTCCAGTATACGGCTGAGCATCATGGACCTTCCTCCCTCTCTGCCCCGTTGAGCTCCCACTGTTAGCAAAACTGCGAAGCACACGCCTGTGTCTTCTTCATACAGGCACGTGCACACACACCTGTATCTCCTTCATACAGGCATGTGCAGAGCCGTCACCAATCGGGGCCCACAGCTGTTCAGTATGGCAAAGGGCAGGCTTGCTCCTTCATCCACTCTGCTGCCTTGATGAGGTGAACACACTGGAATAAGACGGAGGGCAGGATACCTGCCAAAGCCTGAGGAATGAGATGATCTGAAACAATCGGGCAAATGCTGGACATTTCAAAAAGCTGACCTCTAACTGCAGTTTACGGGTATAGAATTTGATGCTTCCTTCAAGTCCTAACTGCTCTTTCTGAGGCAGCCAGGCTAGGCCAAGAATGAGCTGCTCCAGCTTCTCCAGAGCACAGCTGCCTCCCAGGGCCTGTCAGCATCTGCAGCAGTTGGAAGGAGGTCCCACCTCTTCTGAGATACAGTCCATTTGTAGGATTCTCCAGTGCTCCAATTCACTAATGTATGCTAATGGCTCAGAACAGGCTAAAGCTTCTACCAGATAACCCCTCCCCCAAAACTGAGTCCTCAGGGACAGTTGTTGACTGAATCATCTCCAGGTTATCTACTTTGGGAGGTGCAGAAATGCTATAAATTGAATTCTTTCTCAGCAGCAGCAGAAGCCAGGCACCCTTGAGTCAATTGTCCTTCATTGTCCAGAGCTCCCAAGTGGCATTTCAGAGCACAGGAATTCACTCCTCCACCCAGATGTCCCTCTCATATGGACTGAGTCACACACCCCAGGTCCTAGCAGCAGACATCTCCAAACCAACATCCTTATGAACACTGCAGGTCTCTACTCCAGCTCTCCAATGGAAGAAGAACCACGCAGAGCACAACTGCCCCCAGAGCATTTGGGCTATCACAGTAAAAATACATTTATATCAAGTAAAAAACATAATGCGGGACAAATATATACATGCACACTTCCTTTCTTTCTTTTTCTTTTTTTTTTTTTTTGAGACAGAATCTCACCTGTTGCCCAGGCTGGAGCACAATGGTGTGATCTCGGCTCACTGCAACCTCCGCCTCCCTCGCTCAAGCGATTCTTGTGCCTCAGCCTCCCAAGTAGCTGAGATTACAGGTGGCTGCCACCACACCCAGCTAATTTCTATATTTTTAGTAGAGATGGGGTTTTGCCATGTTGACCAGGCTGGTCTCGAACTCCTGACCTCAAGTGATTCACCTGCCTCGGTCTCCTGGGATTACAGGCATGAGCCACTGCGTCCAGCCATACATGTACATTTTCAGAGTTCAAGTGAATATACAGTTTTCTTTATAAGTATGTAAATAAATTTCATAACACTACAAAAATACAAGTCATCTGAGAAGTTTACAGTGTTACAGTGATCCCAGTACTGTAGGAGAGAAATAAAATAGCTGTAGATAATTAAAAGCTAATTAGATAAATCAAGTTACAGTATCATCCTTCAGATTAAAGTGCTCTGATACAACCAATGCCACAGCAAACAAAATCCTGGAAACGGATTGCACTGCCAATGATTTTGCCTTTTAACCTCATTGTAACAAGGACATACATAAAAGTGATTCTTGATTCAATAACTGCTAGCATCTCCACCCCTGCCCACGCTATTGGCCTGTGACATTCTTCCCCTAGGAGAGATGTCAAGGTTAGATGAGATTCTATCATAGCCAGGAGAAAAAATGAGCAATACCGGAAACATACTAATTCCAGTCTTAAGTGAGTAACAACAAAATTACCTGAAAAATCTGAACTGGTGCTTTTAGCTAAGAAGGAAGCAAGTGTCCTAGTTAAAAAAAAAAAAAAAAGTCTATAAATCTAGTTTTAAAAATACAAATTCAAAAATAAGTATCATCTTCTTGCTCTGCACAATTTTATAACAAGGGGGTAAAATACTGGTGAGTCTATTCATGAGGGAAAATGGAAAAAAATGCAACCATTTGAAGGCTGAGGCATTTCTGTTTTCTACTGACTTTTCACTTTTATTAACTACATTAAGCCCTTCACTACAATTTCCCCAGTATCCCAGAGATAATTTGGGTTTCCTTTTGGGCAGGCAGAGAAAGTGTGTTCAAAGGACAGACATGCAGATGCAGTTCAATCCCTTTGTGGTCCAGTCCGTGGTCTCCTGTCCCCTGCACAGTGAAGGAGCTTTTTTCTTTCTATTTTTTTTTTAAGACGGAATCTTAAAAAAATTGCCTAGGCTCTTTAAGAGTCTTAAAAAACCTCTTGCCCAGGCTGGAGTGCAGTGGCATGATCTTGGCTCACTGCAGCCTCCATCTCCCAAGTTCAAGTGATTCTTCTGCCTCAGCCTCCCAAGTAGCCGGGATTACAGGCACGCACCACCACACCAAGCTAATTTTTGTATTTTTAGTAGAGACGGGGTTTCGCCATGTTGGTTAGGTTGGTCTCGAACTCCTCACCTCAAGTGATCCACTCTCCTCGGCCTTGCAAGGTGCTGGGATTACAGGCATGAGCCACTGCGCCTGGCCTGAAGGGGCTTCCTCATCTTGGGGAGTTGGTGGACCCTGTCTCTGCCCCTCACAAGGAGTGTTGCTGAGGAAACCAGGGCACCGAGCAAAGGCACAGGGGGAAGAGGCCAAGCAATCCTATTGACATCATTCCACACCTGCCAGAACTGTATGAGCGAGTGCGTGGACCACCCAAGCAAAGCGCTGAACAGGCTGATCTAGCCAGCAGGAACCTGGCTGTCATAAGAAGAGGGGCGTTTACCAAGTTCCTCATATTGAATAAAGAGTAATTCTTTCAATTCCTGAATTCTACTTTTCCAATCTCCAGTAAAAGGGCCCTGGATCTAAGCAGAACATATTTTAAGGCTAGAGAGTAGTAGAAGTTGATGTTTAGAAAAGGCCACTTGTTCGAAATCCGAAAGGCACACTCAGAGGCTCACTCTAAACACCCCTGCTCCCATCAAAACACAAGACCCAAGTTTGAGAAGCTGGGTAGGTTTACGTGGTATCAAAATTTAACATCTGCAGCCAAAAGCCACACCTGAGCTACTCAAAAGCCAAGAAAGTATGTGTATGTAACACAGCACCAATGGCACGGTCCTTTTTTCATGTAAAGCTTTCTCAGGTAAGCTTTAAGAGCTGGAGGATACATATTGAAAAAAATCTCAGTATGAAAGAAAGAAAACCCCAGGGTTAAAATACATGAATACCTCCTGTGCCATCTGAATCTCCGGCTCAGGATCAGATCTTATGACCACGTCTCTGGTGGGCATAAAATATTTACAACCTAGTTAAAGGCACAGTGGCATTTAAAAATAAAGCCCTGGGAATGTATAGTAAAAGATTCATTGTAATCATCAACCTGGCTTCCATTGGTAGAATTCACTCTTGCCAGATAACATGTGAGGGAGACGGTGATTCGGAGCCTGCTGGCTGGTTATCAGGCAGGGCGAGTCCTTGACCCCTAGAGCAGGTGAAGGTGAAGTCACAAAAACATCTCGGGGTTTTTTTTTCCTGCTGATTTACATCTTTCCTGCTTTTTTGCCAACCTGAGTCGGGATGCGGAGGATATTGGGGGTTTCTTCCATGACTCTGACAAGCAGGTTGTCAATGTAGTCTTCCAGCTCTCGGACCTGGAACTCCTTCTTGCTTATCGTTTCCTTCTGTTTGAGGACCAGCTGGATGAGCTCATCATGGGTCAGCTGTGCGTACGCAAATGCAGGGTCCGAGGGGCTGTATTTCTTTGGAGAGGGGGAGAAAGTTGGGAAAAAGGAGTTATAAAATCAGCACAGAAATCTAAAACCTAAAAGAAGTACAAAGGAGGAAAAAGTGACTAGTGATCTGGGTTTCTTGGGAATCCATTTTCTTTCCTTTTTTTTTTTGAGACTGAGTCTCACCCTGTCACCCACCCTAGAGTGCAATGGCATGATCTCGGCTCACTGAAACCTCCGCTTCCTGGGTTCAAGTGATTCTCCCACCTCAGCCTCCTGAGTAGCTAGGACTATAGACACGTGCCATCATGCCTGGCTAAATTTTGTGGGTTTTTTTAGCAGGCACAAGGTTTCACCATGTTGGCCAGGCTGGTCTTGAACTCCTGACCCCAGGTGATCTGCCCGCCTCAGCCTCCCAAAGTGCTGGGATTACAAGGATGAGCCACCGTGCCCAGCCAGGGAATCCATTTTCAGTTTATGGTGAAAACAGGTTGTTGACTGATGAAGTTTTCTGGAAAGGGCCAGATAGCACATATTTGAGTCTTTGCAGGCCACAGATGGCCTTTGTTAATATATTCTTCCTTGTGTTTTTTTTTTAAATTTGTTTGTTTTGTTTTATTTGTTGTATGACCTTTCAAAAATGTAAAAACCATACTTGGCTCACAGGTCGAGGACCTCTGGACTTGACTCTGGGTTTGGATTTTAAGCAATGCCATCATGGGAGGACTCAGTTCTCCAAATGAGTGCTCACTCCTCTGGGAACACTAGGAGCTCACACGACCAAACACCAGTGCAGAGCTGGAGACGACTCCCAAGCCAGAGGGGGCCCAGGAGGACATAGCTGTGACAGCGGGTGCAGGGGGCAAGGGCTCTCCTTCCAGGGCAGCAGGTCGAGGTCCAGCCCAACTGTCTGCTCCTGCCAAAGCTGTGCTCAGAAGGACTCGGTGAGCAGGTGGATGCAGAGGACACCCAGGGACTCCAGTTCACATCACTTCATACTTGAGAAATATGCGGAGTCAGAGCCAGGTGCCATCATGCCCCGTCCTCACCCGTGGCCATCTAGGCACGCCCTTGGGTACACAGCGGCCTGTCCCAGAGCTGAGTGTTCTGCTCCCGAGGACAGCACACACCCTGTGGAGTCACTGTGCTTTATCAGCATTTGTGATCTGGGGCCCCTGCCAGCCCAAGCAGCCTGAACCAGGAGGACACGCAAGATAAAGCTTAAATGAAAAGTCACACGCTGTGCAAGTCCCCAGTAAGGAAAAAAAAAAGTGACTTTTCCTGAAATCTGTAGCCTGAGATTTACATGTTTAAAGAATCAAGATGATTTTGCTGGCAGAGTTCTGAGGCAGGAATAGCTTTATTGCCCTGAGGGTCTAACGGTCTCACTGTCTACCAGGAAGGCCAAGAGACTACCTTCTCCAAGAAGAATCAACACTCGCTCCTCAGTGACATGATAGAAGCCCCAGTTCAGTCCAGTGACGCAAACTGCCTGGACACGAGCCAGAAGTCAAAGGAGGGATCCCAGCCCTCCCATCCTGGCCAGGAACAAAAGCACGATGATGGCAGTACTAACATAGACACACAACACCAATGTTTCCATAGACAGAGTGAGTTCAACCCCATACAGGCTGCACATTCAGAGGTGAGACACTGGACTGCTTTTCCAAAACCTGCTTCTCCCCTAATCTTTGTTTTTTAAAACTTTGAAGGCATGCATTCATAGCGCACCTTCTCTGGACCTCAGTCACTGTAGATGTGACTTCCAAAACAATATTTCATTGAAAAGTTGCATGTCTGGAAAAAAGCCCTAGAGATTGGTTGTACAACAATGTGAATGTACATAATGCCCTTTTTTTTCCCCCCATAGAGACGGGGTCTTGCTATGTTGCCTAGCCTGGTCTCAAACCCAAGCTCAAGTGATCCTCCCACCGTGGCCTCCCAAAGTGCTGTGATTACAGGCATGAGCCTCCACACCCAGCCTTACATTTTATATCAAGAAAAAAGAGTCACCTTTGTAAATCATGGCAAAGAGTATGTCCTCAAGGGATTTTAGATTATACTTCTGTCATATAAGGATCTTATTTATTTATTTATTATTATTATTATTTTTTTTTAAAGTCACAATACATAAGATATTCTGCATGGAATTTGAAAGAGAGAGGGATACAGAGGCTGACACCTGTAGGGTGTCCTATAATTAATTCCAACACCTAACATTTGGGTCTCTTTATTTTTCCTGGGATTCTTTTTCTTTTTTTGAGACAGTCTCACTGTGACGCCCAGGCTGGAGTGCAGTGACACGATCTCGGCTCACTGCAACCTCTGCCTCCCAGGTTCAAGTGATTCTCCTGCCTCAGCCTCCCGAGTAGCTGGGATTACAGGCACCTGCCACCACACCCAGCTAATTTTTGTATTTTTAGTAGAGATAGGGTTCTACCATGTTGACCAGGCTGGTCTTGAACTCCTGACCTCAAGTGATCCTCCCGCCTCAGTCACCCAAAGTGCTGGGATTACAGGCATGAACCACTGAGCCTGGCCTTCCTGGGGTTCTTGATGATATGTTTTATAATGTCAGCCTCATACAAAGTAATAGTTTTACAGCTTTGTACTATTTAGTAAGCATTTTTTCCATCATAACATTTTAGCAAAACTTGCTTTTCTAGTGGATGCTTAAAATCCCATTATATTTTAACTATTCCTCTATTGCTGGATATTTATGTTGTTTTCAATTTGTACAATTATATATAATATTTTAATCAAAATGCATGAACATAAATCTTTGGCCATATCTCTAAGTACTTCCTTAAGATAAATGCCTAGAATTGAAAATGTGTACACACTTAAGGTACTTCATATGAACCATCAAACAGCTATTTAATTTGGATTATGTAATTCAAAGGGAAAAAGGATATAAAGGACTTTAAAATCATTAGAAGAGCCTAGTTTTGTGATATTAAAAAATTATAAAACAGGGCCAGGCATGGTGGCTCACATCTGTAATCCTAGCACTTTGGGAGGCTGAAGCAGGTGGATCATGAGGTCAGGAGTTCGAGACCAACCTGGCCAACATGGTGAAACCTCGTCTCTACTAAAAATACAAAAAATCATCCAGGCATGGTGGCGGGCACCTGTAGTCCCAGCTACTTGGGAGGCTTAGGCAGAAGAATTGCTTGAACCCGGGAGGCGGAAGTTGCAGTGAGCCAAGATCGTGCCACTGCACTTGAGTATGGGCAACAGTGCGAGATCCTGCCTCAAAAAAAAAAAAAAAAAATCATAAAATAATCCAGCATCATAAAAAGTGAGTAATGGCCTTGAAGAAAAAGCACAGAGAAAATACCCACAAATGCAAGAAAGAATGGTGCCCATTGTCATGTATTTCTCACCAGGATTCTTACCCTGGACTTTTCCTTTTATGTAGTTGTAATAATGACATACATTCAAATGCGCATCCAACTTTTTCCATATCACAGATGATTTTTGGATCTAGTTGGCTTTATTTTAAAACGGAAATGTTAAAGTCACCTGGGTAAATAAGACACTCCCAGTTATAAATCATCTATAAAGGATGGAGACCCTAAAACAACAACCAAGAAAAAAAAAATCACTGTAGCAATGATCCAGCTAGCTTTTCATAACTTTAGCTATGCAGTTTCTTTCCCTTAAACCTCTCTTACTTTGCAACATTCCAAAGAGTAGGTATCTTTATAAATACTGTCTTATCCCTTAACACAAAACATCTATCATGCGGCAGGCCAATAGCAGAGTCTCCAGGAAATGTTCCGTATTTACCCAGAATGTTTACTAGGCATGGTCCAGAACCAAGAGATGTGTTGCAGGCAGGCAGCAGGGCGGCAGTCAGGCTTACAAATCATGAGCAAAATAAGCAGCAGTTGCCTTTGTTTTGAGCTAAGTTATTCTCTTAGGGCCAGGAGATAAGCCATTGAATTAAATGAGCTTTGAAGAGGAAATAAAATGGTAGCCAAAGGTCTTGCTAACTTCCCAGAAACAAGGTGTTTGTTTCTCTTTGGAGCCACACTGCATTCCACAGTAAAAGGAAGATGGATGGGAAGCTGCTGAATGACTCTAATGTTCATTGCTGTCCTTTTATCCCATTTCCTGATAAATATCATTAACTCCAGGAAGACAAGTGCTGCCTCTTCTATCTGCAACAACCACACAGAAGCCAGGCAAGCTGGTTCACATATTGTACATTTTTAGGCTAGGGCTGAAATGTAGTAGGTACACAGTTCTGGCTGTGGCTGATAATTTTGAGACCAATGCTTACCACCTGCCCTGTCAATGTGTTCTACAAAGAAAGAGTGGGGGCCAGGCACAGTGGCTCACACCTGTAATCCCAACACTTTGGGAGGCCAAGGCGGGTGGATCACCTGAGGTCAGGAGTTCAAGACCAGCCTGACCGACATGGTAGAACCCCGTCTCTACCAAAAATACAAAAAAATTAGCTGGGTGTGGTGGTGCATGCCTGTAATCCCAGCTACTTGGGAGGCTGAGGTTTAAGAATTGCTTGAACCTGGGGGGTGGAGGTTGCAGTGAGCTGAGATCGCACCATTGCACTCCAGCCTGGTCAACCAGAGCGAAAATCCATCAAAAAAAAAAAAGGAAGGAAGGAAGGAAGGAAGGGAGGGAGGGAGGGAAGAAAAGGAAAGAAGGAAGGAAAAAAAAAGTGGGGCAAGAAAGAAGATGCGAACTTGTTTTCAGCAATCATCAGTTATGATTACTTGGCTTCTTTTACCAAAAACTTGGACCTCCAGCTTCCTGTGAACCTTTATCCCAGCTCTTACTGGTAGATGTGCAATGAAGCCAGAGGGAATAACAAGTACCCAGCACTTGAAAAACACTTTCAGCCAAGCATGGTGGCACATCTGTAGTCCTGGCTACTTGGGAGGCTGAGGTAGGAGGATCACTTGAGCCCAGGAGTTCGGGGCTGCGATAAGCTATGATTGCACGTGTGAATAGCCATTACCCGCCAGCCTAGGCAACAGAGCAAGACTCCATCTCCATTAAAA